TGTGAGGAAGAAATGGAAACCTTTAGGCAGTTGTGGAGCCAGGTCGAAAAGACCGGGGAGAAGAGAGATGTGCTACTGGAGCCCTATGTTCCTCTAAGAACCCAAAGGACGAATGATGATAAATAATTACGACAATTTTGAACTTAACTTCCTCATCGGATCCATTACGGATGACCCGCGTTTTCATAATGTGAAGAAAAAATGTCCCTAGCTGTCCCTACCTTGTGTATTAGCTGGCTGACTGGCGACAATTTTTGGACGAAGGCAGATATAGCTATTGAAACTAATTTCGAGCAGCTGAAAACCTCACACCTGTGAAACGGAGGTGGACCTGAAATCATCTGAAGGGCATGACGAAAATCGAAGAAAACGCAAGCAAAGCCTTCATGAAGATCGACCTTCTTGTATTCTCCAGTCACTTCCAAGGAAAACCAACAGTCAGTGGAGTGGGACCCACTGGGACGTAACACATGTTTGACCACCTGTCACGGCTCCAAGATACCCTGAGCTTCAACGTTGCTCCCCCAAATTTTAAGACAATTAACTTCACTTCTCAAGCCTTTTAGTTTACCTTTTTCACCCGATATGCAGATTACGACGGCGGAGCATACCAACATACTGGGCATCGAGATACACTTCGAATCTCTGTTCAGCACGTGACAGCTGTCATCTTTTGCCGCCTGGAGATGCAAAATCACTATCAGCCAGACAATTCATCCCACACTACAACCTCCACTAAGTGATAATAATGTTTATTCCTGAATATACAGGCACACACCATTTTTACTGGTGTGAGTAAGTTTCCATATAAATTACATTTGTCTTCGCGGAAGGTAGTCTCAATCCTCACCTATTGTCACCAGAAGATATAGGTGCTTCATATTCATATAATGAAACATTCCAGTAGAATAAGTATGCGAAAAATAAACAAGTTGAACAAGTGGAAGTATCGTCTCCACATTAACAAAATACGTAGCTCCAACTGGGAGAGCAACTAGAAATGTCGCGTATTAAATGCCATTCGCATCCGCACATACAAGATCTTTCACTTCTGACAGCCACTCACCTGAAAATAGGGCCAATCGAAAGTGACCTCATATGACGCGCCGACCTTGAAGACATACTGAACGGTTCGGTGGTGAAACCCCTTATATTCTCCACCGTAATATGACAGCAGCAGCCGGATAGAAATGCATCCCCGGCTGTATTTATTCAAATGACTCTGTTTACGACATTACAGACCTAAACAATTGCTACACTCTGCATGGTACCACACAATACCAGGCCCAAATTTGAGTCCACCGTCCATCCCAGTTTTGCTTGCCGTCTGTAGATAGTACAAACTTATTGGATACAGACATATCTCTGGATTCATTTGTTCCCGACATTCGATAAGCAATATACTTTTATAGATTACATGACTCACCATTGGCAGGATACTCCCCACACTGAGAGATTACACCCTCATTAATTCGCACCACTGCCGTTTAACGGTGTCGCTCTCATCCAATATTTGTGACCGGCAATATCTTAACAGTCGTTTGCCATAGAAGACTGTTCGGCGCATTTATAGCTTCAATTCATAACGCAATACAGTATGCTGTGGAACAAATTTCCCTTTCCTATACGAGCATGTCAATCTCTCGGCCAGTTTCAGCGATTACTTAGTGAATTCCTCCTATCTAACGATTCTCATCAGTTCGTTGACGGCAAACCACAAACGGTAATAGCATGTAAAATGGTGCTACTGGTACGCAGACTCGAAGGAGACTAACACCAATGACAAAAGTATATAATTCCGAAAACTAAACGCATTAGTTAAGTTCAAATGTAATATCTAAAAAGGAAGACCGAACGAGAGTGAACAGGAAGTGTAACGGAAAAATGATCTGAAAATCCCTCCCGATCACCCTTACTTGATTGTATTGACATTTATTTTAACATTTTTACCCTCGTTATGGATGGTGTACCTTTGACCCTCGCCGGTGTAATGTTATTTGCTTGTTTAACTGTCTTATTTGACTTTACACTCGGTATTTGCCTTTGTATGTTTGAGACTTATTATGAGTGTTTCACTTTCCTATCATGTGACGCTGGACTGTTGATAAGGTGATGTTGTTTTACTGCGCACGACATTTTGTTTTGGTTCAACTTACGGTTGTGCAGTGATTTGACTGTTTGCCTTTTGACTGTCTACTGGGAACGTTTGTTTGTTGATTTGATTCCTGTAGGCAGAGTTTTGATCCCTTTTGCCGGGAATATTCTCATTGACCGACAGGTATTTAACAGTTGTATTTTTTAACCAGTTTTTACCGTGTAGTACGTATTTGTACCCGAGAACGTTTTGGACTGTATAGTTACCCAACGGCACTGTTGAGGTATTTTTGTAATTTGACATAACTTATTGTTGCTTTGATAGTACCACAGATTTTGTTACGAATCTACTATTGAATTACTACAAACCGTGTTTTGATATTTCGATCCAACCTTTGACTGCGCGTCACTCGCGGAAGTTAGGAAGCTATACAGTAGAACGCAGGAACTAGTCAGATTCACGTCAGTTGGCACCGACTAGCTATTTCCCGCGTTCAGGCCAAGATTATTGGATTCTGGCCGCTACAGGAAGTGCAGTGTGTGATTCGATTTGCAACAGTGAACTCAGTAGCTACTCTAATGCAATCTACACTTCTTCATAACCCAACTGATCTCACGATTTATTATGTGTTTCATAAAGTTCTTCCCTTAAAATAATGTTTACTCCTGAATGATAAATGACCTGTCTATCAGTGCATTTTCATAGCATGTAACATGTTTTATCATTTTCCCTTCGTTATTAGTACTTACATGTAAGCACTCTGCACCAACGTATTTTTTCGGTAGCCCCGATATGGTAATACTCAACAGGCAACACCATGATCATCCCTCCCCGTGACTAGATAAGGCGTGGTTACCATCTTAGAAAAAACCATGAATTTTATTTAAGTGTTTATAACTCCATCAAACTTTTGTACACAGGTTTATAACAAGTGAATACCTGGTCCCAAGTCCTCTAATCCCTCTATTTCGTAGTGATATCTTCGGCTTCAGACCAATTTTCATTACCGTCATGTGCACCTTCATCTTCTTCCACCTAAGATTACCTCTAAGCAATCAGTTTTGGATACTTCTTCAAGTAAGTTCTGTAGTCAGTACAAAGAACTCACCCAGATGTATCATGGTTGATCTACTCCTGCACATTTTTGTGATCCTGTTTCGAATTTCGCCTGCTGCTCGCTTTTGTTGTTCACTATTCAGGTTTACCTAACCAGTCCTGCATTCAAATGGAATCCTAGAAATCGCATTTGTCAGTGTGCACCTTGCCATCAAAACCTTATGACGAACGCGCACACCTCAATGTCATGACTGTGATGCGGCCCCACCTTCAAGAATATTGGAAGATTCAAGCAATAACCGAATAATTTCTGATTTCGAATTGAGCCTGCTTCAACACGCCTCTTATATGCCATGAATAACGGTACCTAATGTATAGCTTAACATTGTACATAATAGTCATTTCTCATTACCAAAATGATCAAACCTGTAAACTGGTTTGTATTCACGTAACCTATATTGCATGAAATGTACATATATTATTATCATTGTAAGCAAATCGCATGTAGATATTGATCGTGAAAGTGGCACGTGTGTGTATAATTCAGCATTCGAAGTGCACCAGTTGACCCCAATCATCAAACGACTACCTATATCACCTTTAAACGTGTTGTTACACTTGAGAGCTGTGTGCTCGAAGTCCGGACCGGATTCTACATATCCTGTGATGACGGCGATCATCAAACTCAGAACCCTTGGACATCCTCGGCTCGGGAAATCCAAGGTTTGTTGGTGTGCTGCGTAACCGTTCATGCCCATACCTTTTCAATTAACACTCCTCAGCAAGATTAACATTATGATAGCTCTGAAAACGGCCAAGATTTGAGTATGCTGATCTGGCCTTCAGCATGTCATTAGGAATTTTATCAGTCACACCCCCACCACCACTCACACAACTAGCCTGATACGCAAGTTTCTTGACACTAAACAGTTCAGCACGGTGGGGTAGGGTGTAGGTACAAACTCCCGTCAACTTTGTAGAACTGCGCTGCTTTCTGACGATTTGAAGCATATACCACACCTGCAGACATTGTTCGCCAACAGGTGGAGTGCGATTTGCACAACCCGTATATCTTTGTACAGTAGTGATATTACTGGCATATAAGTTATAGCAGGGTATACTTAACAACAGTGCATACATTTATGAGCCAGGAAGTGAAACAAGTCTTTTGTTTTGCGACTTAGCTGTTCAGACCTTGGTAATCTTAGTGATTTCGAACATTTGCCCCACTCCGTAAAACCTGGGTTCTTATGACGTGACACGGCCAATACTAAGGGTTTTTGAGGAGGAGCAATGTATGTACGGTGCCCTATAGGCTGAAAAATGGGTCAAATTTGCTGGAAAGTCAGAGGACAGCAGTAAGTAATAACCCTTAAACTACTGCTCTTTGAAGTAGGATTCGAATACCACAGCTTAAGCTAGTAAAGGGTAACTCGACTAAGGCCCTAAGGAAAAGCTTAGTTATCGGTCTATTTTCCATTCCATCATATCACGAAGGTTCAAAGTATAAAACCAACAATGAGCTACTCTTGTTCTAATCCTGTGAATAATTATTGGACCAGGTTCTTAGAAGTATTGCTGTCAGTACTGATGAAACTATCCTCCACAGAACATTGAGTAAACATAGAGCCCTGCTGGAAGGGGACTTAAATAGACAAACTTGTCCAACGGTTCTCAAACTAAGAAACTGACCTAATCTATCGCAGTAAGCGTTGGCGTGTTACCTTTGCCAGTAACGTCAAAGATAGAATAAAGATACTTCGAATAACACAAAATTTCGGGTTAATATTTTGAGGTGAAATGTGCATACACGAAACTTTTGGTGTTTAAGCTACAACTACTTGCCGTCTTCATCGAGGTTGTTTTAAACTGTCCCCACTTGTAACCCGCTCTCTGTGGATGAGACATGCTTCAGGCTGCTAATGTAGGTCCTAGGTGTCATTTGCTTAGTTTTTAGGTTCATTCTCTTGCCTTGTCCAAAATTATCAAGCCGGATAAGAAACCGGTGACTCCGTTAGAGGAGGAAATTGCACAGGTAGGATATTATTGCAATGTAAACAATCCCTAAAGGCCATCATAGATCTGCAGATACACGATGACTGGTCCGATACTATGAAGTTGTTGTACTTTTGTGAGGCTAAGGTTAGTTTTCGAACGTCACTGCTTATTTTTCCCAGGAAATGACCATCGGAAAAGAGAAAGCTGTTGTAATTTACGTACCTGTGCCCCAACTAAGGACGTATCAGGTCATACACAATCGCTTGGTTGGAGAGCTCGAGAAAAAACTCCGAGGTCCTCATGTTGTACTTTTGGCTTTCCGAAGAATTATCGCTAAGCCGAAAAGGAACTGTAAATTCAACCCCAAGCAAAAGCGTCCAAGGAGTAGAACGTTGACGGCTGTTCATGAAGCCATTCTGAAGGACCTTGTATATCCAGCAGAAATAGTTGGGAAGCGCATACAAGTTCGATGTGATGGTAGCACACTGATCAAATGTCACTTAGACGTCGCACAAAGGAACTACATTGAGCACAAGGTACGTCTGAATGTGGTTCTAGATATTTGTTTAGTTGAAAACAATTACAGGATTATACAAGAAGCTGACAGGCAAGGATGTCCAGATAGAGTTTCCAGACTGGGTTTTATGATTTCATGTAATATATGCTTGAACGTGGACCAGGTCTTTTTTCACTTTGACGTGAATCTATTTGGACTTTTTGTTGCATTTCTCAATTGTACTGCATAGTTTGTTGATCTTTTGGGGTACTCGGTGTATGCTTATACGAATGTTACGACTCAAGCATTCGAGTGTGAAAACCGCTCGCTGCTCTAAAAGGGGTTGAACTGTATCTGCTTCATGCTGCATTGGCTTGGGGCTAAGTTCTTTAAAGTTGATAATGCTTGAGCGCTGTCGCTGAACTAAAGCATCCTATGCGATCAATTCCTGTAGCAATGTGTTGTGCCCGGGTGACGTCATGTAAACTGCTAGGATGCTTTCGACTTCCGAGTAGTTCTTCAATATTTGTACCGAGTGGTTGCATTTCTCGTGATTTAATCCTGTCATACGAGATATGAAAACATGCATAAGAGACCTTGGACCCTTTCTAACTGTGTACACATAAATTTACCTACCACGTTGCATGGAGCTGCCAGTATGTGATCTGATGTACTGAAAGCTAGGTTAGCATTTAAACATGTTTGTTACTTAAGGGGAGGTCAGTTCATTAGTGTTAAAAATGACACCTATTACTTAGAGGATGGGGAAAACATACAGTAAAACAGCATGATTTTTACGGATAAAGTGGCAAACAATGTATGCACTGCTGGATTTTGTCGATACTCGCTCTTTGTTTATGGGACCAAACGGTTGCAGAATGGATGGTATGACAAAGCCATAGTTGAACAAATGTTTATACCCATCTTTATTAACTTTCATGTACTCTTTTGTCCCACCTGCCGGCTGCGTCACATGTTACTATGAATTGGAAACGGATTGGTGCATTTGTGTCGAATTCTCTTGTTTCCTTTGTATCCGTCGTTTCGCTTTTGAGCCTAGCATTGCGCACTAACATGTAGGCAATTAGCAAAACCTTGAAGGGCTTTATGTAGTTAGTCATCGCGTAGTGTTAGATGAAGTGGGCCTAGACTGGTGATAGGTTAGGTGACCAGACTAGAATATAACATTATTAGTCTCCGTATGCCTAACCACTGCCTACGTCGTCGCATAATGTTGGCCGAAGTAGGATTGGGCTAAAAAAGCTCCAGACTAGAATATGTCATCGATACATGAAGTTATTGACTGTTGGTTGAACCATGTAGAGTAGCCAGTTGTGGTCTGCGGGGCGATAGAAACCAGTGGCCCAGATGTATACGAACTTTATCCTCATCTCGGCTGTTGCACTTATTCACATCATCCAATTCCTCTCTTCTACTACTTCATTCCTTTTCGTTTTTTCTTCCCTTCATCTCTACTTTACTGTCTTGTTACTTGCACTGATGCGAGATGTGGCGACTTGGGCCGTTACGCAGGAGAATATCTAGTCCCTTGTCGATTCTGATAGTGATAATCACATCACTGCGTGAAGTCGCTGACTATTAGACCTGTCTGTGTGGACCTGCTTCTGTGTGTGCTTAACAAACGAAGTCGATGTTTTTATACACAAGTTGCGACGGTTTCGAAAAGACATCCTCGTCTTAATCGTCATGCCAAAATTCAGTTTTATCCCATATACTACGGCTTCGTTTTCCTAAATATCATCCATGTACCTTATTTGGTGGACTGATATAAAGTGAGATCATTCGAACCGTTTCTCAATAGTATCAGGTCTCACTTTGCTACTGGAGTCGTTCCCATACACCTTGCATACTGGTAATACAGAGATCAGCAAATGCACTCACACAATGTGTTAAACAAACTTTAAAGTTCTTCATACTTGTATCTACTAGTGATGTGTAACCTGCCGCTATAAAGTTGGGTAGTGGGACAATAATATTTAAGAGAGTGACATTTATGAGGTTTTATGCGTGGTAACGAGTAAGATAAGAGTTAGATAATCGGACTGATTTGGTATTTTCTTACAAAGACCATATTGTATGCTGTACAAACGGATTTTAGAAGTGTAGTATATTACAGTTCACTAACGCATCCGTATGGCATGTAGGCCAGCATTGCTTTAGGTTGATCAACTAATGCTATGTTACTAGGCTCGCCTAGTGTCGTGAACGGTGACGGGGAAGTTCGTAACTTAAAACAACATAGGTACTACACAATTGAGTACCAGTTATCAGTCTTGCTGTTTTTAGCTTATTTCCTACTGTCTCAGTTCATGTCGTGCATGAAGCATGGCAATGGGCTATCATGCGGGTTGGCCGACGTTCATTGCCCGAACTAATTTGTCTCACTAGTACTCGGTACCTGAATTCACTGGTTACAGCGGGAAGACAAAACCGATTACCCACGACGTTTCAGAGATCACTTAACGCGCTGAAGATTGTACTGCTTTGCAGTACGACCATTATCTGAGGTGTCCCAACAATTTGTCGTTACTTCATTTAGCGAAAGACGTCCGAGTCCTCTTAATGGTGAAAAATAAGAATAGCAGGTTGAGTAACTATTTCTTGCTACTTTCAGTGTCGTAGAGGTTCAGTCATTCTATGAAGGCATCAATGGGATGTGCAGAAAAACCATACTTCGGTGAGGAGTTTCATTGGTTCACAATCCATTGTCAGGAACGAATATCCAGATGCAGATGACCCGAACGTGGCTTCTGGCGACGTTTTCTCACGCAGCCAGTTGAAGAGGGAGAATATACATTCGCGCCTAACTTACTGCTTAAGATACTGTAAGCTAGTGTATCTTCGCCGAAACCACGGTAGTATGGTGGGAAACTGTGTGTTCGCTGTTCGTGAGGGGTTAGAAGGCTATTTTGGTCCCTACCCTTCGAACCCTTCATTACATAACCTCAAATTAAAAACACGCTTGCGTCCCAATGGTAGTGAGGGTTTGTATATTTTGAATACAATACTCGAAACGCCGTCAAAGCACTAGAAGCCACACGAAGATACCTTGAGAATTGGAAAGCTGGTGCTCTGCAGTTTGTGCAGTCTTAAGGTCTTGGCTGATGGTGAGTTTTGAGTTCTGTTCAGGAACCTTGTGAAGTACCGTGCTATTCGTGTATTTATGTGAATTGTAACGGGCGGTATGCATACCTCCATCGACAATCTACTGCACCATTGGATTTTTGCTTTCAGGTCTTCTTGTAAAGGCACCCTGTCGTCGTCACAGTCCGAAGTTTGATATATTCAGCAAACAACAACCTTCATCGGAGTGGGAATAGCACAGGGTTCATGATTTTTCCTTGTGATGTACTACCGTTCACTGGTGTCAAAAACGATAGTACCCTGTTAGCTCAGACTCAATCTCCTGGTGATTCTTCGTAGTCGTTTGACGACTATCATGAATGAACCAACTACATGATAGTCTGTTACGCAATGCTTAATGCCAAGTTTTGTAAGTTAAACTGACGATAGCGTCTTTTCCGTCCCTTGGTGATATAATACTAGACAACACTGACAAGTTTTCTATTGCGATATCCGTCTGTACTCATAGTATGCGCATCACTGGTTTTACATATCTTGAGGTCCTGCAGTAGTTGTAACACCTTTCTCGGGGGCACTGGTCCCGTCTCCGAGTTACACGTACGGAAAGTAGTCGAGTATATACTAGTCTTCAGAGGATACTTAGATAATGCAGTATGAAACTGTTTCAGTTTGGGACAAATCACTTACTGGTTTTATTGAACCATGGATAGGTATGTAGTGTTGGTGTGAAATCATTTCTGAGGTCTTTCTGAATGTAAGAAAAGTCTCTTGCGGTGAAGAAATCGTCAACAACCTTTCTGCATGGTTCCCTGTGTTTTGTAACCAAGGCCCTACAGAAATTCCCTGATTTACAATATCCGATTCTAAACTAGTAGATGATAACATTCCATAATTTTTTCATACCCGAGCATCAAAGCTTGCTTATTTCTTCGTAAAGACAAATTGACAGTTGACAAGGAATGACGAAACGGAAGATACTCAGCTACCTGATCTATCAGGTGTAGCGGGCATTGAGATACACCTATTGTGTGAGAGCTAGTTATACTACATAGCTGTCCAAACCTCTGCAGGTGAGGCGGGGTTCCGACTCGTGACCCACAAGTTGATAGCCACGACTCCTAATCAGTGAATAAAACCAACTGTGGTAAAAGTAAGCGTTTTTTCTGAATAAAATAGGCTCCTCACCAATAGAAGAGCCAGGAATCCCAGCACTCTACAGATGCAGTGCATTCTCCAAGATGTGTGCTCATCAAGCATTCAGACGGCGTTGTATATTCTTTTTATTGATGTCACTCCGTGAATCTAGAAGACAGGACAGGTTGAAAGGAGAAAATGTCAAAGTCAAACACCGTCTTATTAATGTCTTCGTATGAAGTCCAATAACGATGAATCTCGACTAGACTAAAACTGCATGTCTCATGAAAACGAACTGTACTAAGACGTTTTCTATAACGCTAAAGAGCGACCTAGTGTTGAAAACGTTGAGGAAACCGGGGACTTCATATCAACCCGTATTTCATAAGGTGCGTTAGAGTTCCCTAAGATAAGGTGATGGTATCAGCCCCGGTTATCGGCGCCAAGTCATCAGTTTTGCCAGTTGTTTTGCGGTAGGTCGCACCAACGACAGGTGCACTCCGAGACTAACTTTGAAGCTGCCTTCTTCACAAATTCCGTGTTCATCTTTTACAGTGTGGGGAGCATATCTAGAAACATTTTGATCTTAACATCTGCATGTGTGTAGATGAATCGCGACATCAAGTTCAGAAACGAGCCATTGGGCAGCGACGGTCAAAATTACTGCACAACTCTGGCATTGATGCATCTTAAACTTTGTCTCGATGCTTCCATAGTATTTGGTAAACTAAATTATTTGCTATCGGGCACTAAGATCCGTAAACAGACACAGTATCTCTAAGTAGATCTAGGTTTGAATGCTATCCTGATTCGAATCTTCTTAAGAATTTCACTTGAAGTTTTTGATATTCCGTTGTGCAATAACATACTATGATCTTTGACCCGGTTTTTATTGGTCTTGCCGTCGTTACTATTACTTTTACTGCTTGTATTCTCATGTG